CCCCCCCCCCCTCCTCCTCCTCCTCCTCCTCCTCCTCCTCCACGCCCTCCTCCAACTCTGGGGCCTGGCCTGTAGTTGCTTGTAAGGGGCGGTGCTTGCATGTGGGACTTGTCATCTAGGATTGTCATGTAGGATTTATTTTGTTTGATTGATTGATTGATCGATCGATTGATCGATCGATCGATCAATGGACCGATAGATTCCTGCCTGTACATCTTTCGGACGCCTGTATGAGGCAATTCGAAAACAAAATCGATTACGTAATCGGTTCTGTTTTGGAATTGCCTGAAACATGCACCTACATGCGCTGGTTCGCCACACTCAAATGCCTATTTGAGGAGATTCAAAAACAAAATCGATTACGTAATCGATTCTGTTTTGGAAGCGCCTCAAAAAGGAACCTGAATGCGTCGGATCGCCACAGTCAAGTGTATGTTTGAGGCGATTCCAAAATGGAATCGATTAAGTAATCGATTCCGTCATGAAAGTGCCTCAGACAGGCGTCTGAGCGGGGATAACCAATCCCACACGAAGCATCGCCCATCCCTCCCCAAGATTGATTGGTTGATTGACTGACCAGACATAGTACAGGTGCTTTCAATCAATCAATCTATCGGTCAGTCAATCAGCCCAATCAACAAATCAATCAGTTGAGAGGTTCAGTTCTGGTGCATCAAACCCCGACTCTGCTGCAACAGATTCAGCTTTGCCGTAGAGGAGTTTCGTTATGAGAAACCAGAACTAGCACTGCAGCAGAACTAACTCTGCTGCAGGGGAGCTGCGTTCTGGTAAACCACAACTAGTACGGGTGCTTCCGATCAATCAATCTATCGGGCAATCAGTGAATCAACTGACCAATCGGTCAATCAAGAGGTCCAGTTCTGGTGCATCAGAACCCGGCTCTTCTGCTGCGGATTCAGCTCTGCTGCAGGGGGGCTACGTTCTGATAAACCGGAACTAGCACTGCAGCAGAACTACCTCTGCTGCAGGGGAGTTGTGTTCTGTTGTACCAGAACTAGTACGGGTGCTTTCAATCAATCTATCGGTCAATCAATCAATCAATCAATCAATCAATCAAGAGGCTCACTTCTGGTGCATTAGAATCCGGCTCTGCCGCAACAGATTCAGCTCTGCTTCAGGGGAGTTGCGTTCAGATAAACCAAAGCTAGTACTGCAGTAGAACTAGCTCAGTTACAGGGAAACTGTGTTCTGGTAAACCAGAACTGGCACTGGTGCATCAATCAATCAATCAATCAATCAATCAATCAATCAATCAATCAATTTCACTTGCAAGTTTCAGTGAACCAGAACTAGTGCTGGACCTTGCAGCTGACCTGGGGACACATAAGAACTAGTTTTGAGTCATTGACCGATTGACTGATGGATTGCTTGCTTGCTTGATTGATTGATTGATTGATTGATTGATTGACTGATTGTTTGATTGATTCATTGATGGATTGACTGACAAACCTGTCTGTGTCAGCTGGTTTTTTTTTTTTTTTTTTTTTTTTGGTGCTTAGTGTGTCAGGGACCTTCACCCTGTTGACCAACCACCGAACAAGTAGTACCTGTCTCTTATACACATCTAGATGTGTATAA